GTATTCCTTACATACGACAGAAATGTTAATTAAGTATGGCAGTCTTTTAACTCTAGTCTCCCTGGTAAGGAGAAACTAATGATTCAAATTCACTAATAGTGAATAACTGTTATACTGAATGTGAAAGTGAATAACTGAAGAACTAACAATGGAAGATTTTGAACAAGAGAACAAGATTAAATTAAGTATCAAACAGTTGCTGGTCTTTGAAAAGTAGTCAGCTTAAATACTCTGTCTACCTAATGGATGATAATTGTCCTTGTGAAAAATTTTTGTGGAAGTGATAATCCACCAAGAAACTATGGTGGTTATATATCTAGGGCGTAGGCACTTTCCTGAGTGACAGTATTTGTCTGTAATATATAATTAAAACTTGAACAAATAAAGCAGATCTTTGCATGGAATTGTCCAAAATAAATACTATATTCAGTATTTGGAATGTGCTTTGTATATTGCTAGAGAAGAAAGAGAAGAACCTGAAAAAACTTTGGGGTACATAAGAACTATCACCCTCAAAACATTTTCTGATAAATCAGAGTTGAATCCTGTCAAAGTTAAATGAGGAAATGTACTGCATTGCAAGTAAAATCTGTGAAGGCAAAAATAAAATATTTTGGACAGTGGAAGACACTATAAGGAAAACAGAACCATTAAGTAAGGGAATAACGTAAGGATTGTGAAAGTATTAAGAGAGTATTAATATGACTCATTGGTGATACTTCTCATCAAAAAATTTTTCCAACACAGAATATTATAATTATTAAATAGTAGCATAGAGACTATCGTAAGCCTTACCCAAGCTAGTCAGAGTAAAGGATAATCAAAGAATATGGACTTGGAACCCTTAGTTCTAGAAAGTGTTACAAGATTATTTTTTTTAATGAAGTGTAAAACAGTATCAGCAGACTATAAAGCGATTGAGGATTACTGTAATGATGTTGCAGAAAATATGCAATAATGTATGGATGACCTGGATGATTCAGTGAAGAAAATCCATCTGTCCTTCCTGAGTAAAAGAGATATAAAAAACATGCATTGACAATTATACTGCCTCCCTGATATCACACACATTTAAATTCCACTCCGTGTAATACAGGATTGCATTGAATAGGAGGTAGTAACAAAACTATTGTCAAGAAAATTGATTCCAGGTAGTCTGGGGGATGTGTGGCAGTAAATATCTGAGAAATTCAGAAAGCAAATGTCTAGGGTCTGTGTTCATGAGCATTCCAAGCTAGATAGGAACTTCATATTGCCTACAAAAGCTGTTCTGCTTGGCTGTTCTGTTTGGAAAGCACACATCTAAGGTTTTTTGCATCTTCAGTTATAAATGTTAGAATTTAAAGTGTAGCTAATAGTTTTATTGAGTATGAGAATACTCATTTGAAGTATTTATTTGAAGTAAATATATTTGAAGTTGGTATATGGTTAAAGTTGATTTCTTTACTGATATAGTAATAGTATATAATAGTAATAGTATATATGTATAAAATATATAGTATATTATAGTATATATTATAGTTTATATTATATATAATATATATTAATATATACAGTTACTATTAGTATATATAATATACTATTAGTATTGGTGGAAAAAAAAGTGATTTCTTTACCGCTTTATTGGTAAAGAAATAGCAGACATTTTGAACACTCCAAAACCACAGAACTTAACATCTGAAGTTGACAGCTTTTTAATTGTTAGTGTTTCATTTATTGGATGATGGATTTTCTTTCCAAAGCAAAAACAGTTTATCAGGTGGCTGGTTTATTTCCTCTTCTTCCTAGCAACACTGTCCAAATTCTTAGATAACCTACTGTAGCACTTAATTATACTTACCATTAGAAAGTTTCTCTTAATATCTGACCTGATTTTTTTTTTTTGTAAGGGTTTAAGGACATTACTTCTTGTCCCATATACAGAAAATAACTTCTCTGATTCTTCTTTGTATGTGTTGAAGAACTTCCATCATTCTTCCATCAGTATATTCTTCCTTAAATAATAATAAAAACACACTTTATTCTTTTGGTCATTCCTCATAATTTTTTTGTAGATCTTGGTTCATGTTTCTATTGAAGTGCAGTATTCATAACTGGATTGAGTACAGCAACTCAAACTTCCATAGTGTCAAAAATAAATTTTAAAAAGATCAATTTTAATGGGAAAGATCCTCTATAGATCTTCTAATCCAAACATGCACTCAAAACAGATCCAAGCATATCAGTTTGGTCTTTTCTCAGTTGATAGTGTGACACTGTTGCCAATGTCTAGTGTGTGATCCCCTATAATATCTAGAACTTAATTTTGTAGAATTGCAATGTAATCAGCTCTCTTCCTCCTGAATTCATGCAATTTGTTATTCATCTGAAATTATTAATTAATTCCTTTTGAATGACGCTGTATTTTTAATTGCTCTTATTTTCTGAAATTTACCATTTTGAATTCTGATTTTATCCCCATTGTGGTGTGAATGCACATCCAATTAGCATGTTTCCTCTTTGAAAACAAGGGAACAAGTGGAAATATTTATCTTTACTCTAGACAGGAATATTATGTATTACTACTTTCCAGATTGATAATGAATCTTTTTTAATGAAGTGCACATTTCCAGGCAGACAAATTTTTATTCATATTTTTAGGAAGAATGACATGACTTTGTGTATAATATGATGTGATGACAATCCTTAGCTTCCTCACTTCTCCATAATTTCTTAGCTTTATATTAACACAAAATGATATAATACACTATAATACTTTATAATACACCTAAGATTAAAATAACATTTTTTTCTAAAAATGGCATTTTACTGTACAAAGTTTCCTGAAAATATTTAATATTCAGGGACTCTCTGAAGTTATCTTTCCCTATTTTAGTCTAACATCTTCTTATTGCATTTCTAATATTAATTCTATAAATTGCCTGGTCAACCATAACCTTTTCAGAGAAAATAGGCACAGGAAGATCATCAAATTGTTTGACCATCTTAGTAATGTAATTTCATGTTTTTCTCTTCCTGTTGGGCAACAGATGAACTAGTTCCTAGACTTTTTTTTATTTTGCTTCTAGAATGTTGCTTTTATCCTTTATATACAGTGCTAATTCTCCCATATTTTGTTTTGAAATTTACTAGTTGCGCGAGGTTTTTGTTTGGTTTTCTCTTCGTCAGTTGAACTGAGTTTCATTTCATTTCTTTCATACGTTTTCTGCATTTCATGTTCAGTGAAGAATTCACAGATGAGTATTGTTGCTCCTTTTTCTACACTTTCTGTATTTTGTCTTAGCATAGCTTCTGCTTGGCCTATCTTGGGCTTTAAAGAATTCTCATTTCATCTGAAAAACTGTTTTCCTTATAACTGTCTTCCGTGGAATATTTCATATCAATTATGTGAGTATATTAGCAGCTGTTTTCATACATAGGTTTTGTCCTGTCACTCTGTCTGCTTTGTAAAGATCTATTCCATGATCCTTGTCACTTACATTGCTTTCAGCTGTCATATTTTCAGTCAGGTCTTCATTCTTGTCAGAACTACATCTAGAAGAGTTCTACTGGAGTCATTTGCCTATCTGTTGTTTGATAGGTTTCTGTCATTATGTCCTGGTTGTTTCTTTGGACAATTTATTTTGTTAGATTCCTTGCTAACTGTATGAAAGTCTTCATTCAATAGTGGTGTTTTTTTTTTTTTTGTTTGTTGTTGTTGTTGTTGTTTTTTTTTTTTTTTTAGGAAAAAAAAAAAGTAAGAGGCAGCATAAGAACACATATCTTCTGAACACGTTTCTTCTTAGAGCAAATGATCTCCATGCTTTCTTCTTTGCATTTTGGGTGAAGTCTTACATGCCAAAGTTCCAGTTTTATGCAGATAAAGAAGTGTAAATCATAGGACTCCTCAAGATGGAGGTTTACATCTGCGATGCTGACAGATTCTTATTAAAGCTGTCAGATGTCTGTAGAATGAAGTGCCTTTAACCCGGCTGAATGCTGATGTGGAGATACAGGGCAGTATGAATTTTGTTAAGTTACCCTGGAGAGTTTATCCGATTATTCACTGAGACTTGTATCTTGTGCAGTAATTGAATCTACTACCATTAATCTTACCTTCTTTGGTGCTTATTTTTTATTATTGTATAAAATGAAAAAGCCTCTCTAAAGCATGAGGACAGACTGAGTCATGTGTTCAACCCGACAAATAGAAACTGAGGATTGTTACCATATTATAGTGGAAAACACTACCATTTGTTCTGCGTATGTTTCCTTTCAGCATTGTGTTTAAGGATGGTTATCCTATATCAACAAGCAGATGGAAATAACATACATTTTCCTAAATGTTAAGTTTCTTCCCATAATTATAAATATTCTTCTGGTTACTTTAAACTTCTTACTGTCCTATTTCCATATCACTTTATGCAGAAAAGTCACATCAAATGCTAAATTATACATAGGAATATAACGTTTAAAGAAATTAAATTCAGTTTTCATGGACAGCATAACAAAGAATTTGCTTTCTGAGTTAACTTGAGTTTGGCTTTGCCACAATCTTGAAAATGGCAGGCTATGACTTGAGGCAACAGAAAGCAGGTACTTTGACTTTTTTCTCCCTGTCAGTTTTCTATACCTTGCCTAAGAAAACATTAAGAAAATAGATAAGAGATCACGTCAAGAAAAGTGTAAAGCCAGATACTTAGAGTGTTTGATGTTTGGGGTTTGAATTAAAATTTTGTTTTTATTCAGTTGCTAATAACACTTTTAATGCATTGTAAGAGGCTTACTATGTCCATCCAAATATTGCATTTGATATTAAATTGTATATAACATATGCATTAACTCATATAATGTATATAACTTGTTAAGGAGACATATAACCAAAAACTAAGATTATTCTACTTTTAATTTAATTATTTTTACAGGGAGGATTATCGTGATAGTGTACCAATTTAGGTTAATTTAAAAAAAAAAGGTATGGGGGGCATTCAATATTTGTTCTGTTTTATTAATTTTTACAGGAAGAGCCATATGTAATGTTCAAGAAGTCAGATAAGCCTTTGTATGGAAATGATCGATTTGAAGGTTATTGCATTGACCTCCTAAGGGAGCTGTCTACTATCCTTGGATTTTCCTATGAGATTAGACTGGTGGAGGATGGAAAATACGGAGCCCAGGAAGATGCCAATGGACAGTGGAATGGAATGGTTCGTGAGCTAATTGATCATGTAAGTTAATTTTGGAAGCTTTCTACTCTCCATTTACATTTAAATTATATCTACACAAATTGTAAAACTTTTTATGATAATGCCACTTGTGAATAGTACTGTCTTGGAAAATGCAGATGTTTAAAAGAATAATGAAAGATCCACATAAATGATTTTTTTCCTCCAAATTCTGTTAAACCCAAGTTTATTCTGCATCTCTGTTTTGTCTATAGACAATACTTGCTTCCTGCCAAACTGTTTTAGCTCTTCCATGGCATATGCCTAAGTCAAAATAAAGAATAAATAGTATTCAAAATTTCTTTCTGAGAACGTGTATCTGTTTTATTTATCTATGTATTTATTTTGTGACAGAATGAAATGTCTTCATTAATCAATGGAAGTCAGGCCCTTTCTGATAGTGGATCTGAGACTTTGAGAAGTTTATGTGTATCCATTTTTAACACATAAATTATTTGATTATTTGAACATCTTTCTTGAAACATAAGCAATAAAGTGCAAGTGGTAAGACAAATCTCAGCATATACTGAAGTAGCAAAGTAATGCAAACAGTGTCAGAGCAAATACCATTACAATTAGGCCAGGCATTACTTCATGTCTTTCAAAACATGCTTTCACAGTTGGTCATGCCAGTTGAATTCACTTTGAATTCCTTTTTTTTTTTTTTTAATTATGTCATTGTGTCTTTTAGTATTTGAGTTAATTGCTTAATACAGAGTTATTTGATCGAAGAACTTGAGATAAAATAAGTTTGGCACATCAGTATTGTTTAAAGTAGGAAGAAGGGGAGATGATATTCAAGTGAAACTTCCTCATGATGCCATGAAGAAAAATATTCACTAATCTCACTCCAATTTCTGTAAGATTTCAGCAGATGGGCAGAACACATGCTAATCAAAATATTCTTGTTTACTAGAAGGGTTTTTGTCTTTGTACTTTCCTACTACATAATAATCTTTTTTTTGTTTGTTTGTTTTTCTTGTTGTTGCAGCAGATGTTGATTATGCCTAGCTTCACACTTCTAAGATGAATGTGTGGGAGTGTTATCTTTAAATATGTGTGTGTATTGCACATAATAGACATATTTAGCTAGACCATCTCTATATACAGCTTCACACGTATAAATGCACAGGCATACATAGCTGTTAGATTTGATGGCTTTTAGGTAGTATCATTTGAAATTAATTTTCTTGTGGGACTGGGATGAGCAGTGAGGAAGTATTTCTTATACAATTCTTTATATATATCATATAAATTCATTTTGCTATGCTTTTGTTACTCAGACCTATAGTTTTCTTGAACAAGTGCAATGTAGCCTCCTAACCTTTACATTAAGGTAATCTTGAAATAAAACACATTAGAAGAAGTTGTAGCAGTGAAATATGTAGGCCAGGAGCTTTCCTGATCCTTTCCTCTTGATAACATAGAATGGAATGTGTTTCACTTTCCTGTAGGCTAAAACTAAACTTACCTTAAAATGTGTTTTGCGTGTTGAAATGCTGTCAAGGAAGATGTAGTCTAACTTTTAGCCTGCATCGTAGCAAGGTTAGGAAGTTGAGCCACCCGTGCTATGCTGAGACTTCCCAATAAAAACCCTTCAATTTGTAACTTTTATTTTCTTTGAGTTAATAGGTAATATATTGTAAAAGTTCTTAATTTTAAACTAAAAATTGTAAAAGAGCTGTTCTTCAGAACAAAAAAAAAATCTGTTGTAATAGACTTCTACTAATCTCTCAATTTCTCAGTAGTTAAAATTTTCCTTTTAATTTCTGTATATTTATCTATTTTTATCTTCTAATCTGTCTGATTGCATTCATATTACTCATGCATGCATACTTATTCTGTTCATCAGTACATGTTATTGATACATTTTATTAGGAAGAAACATGTCAGACCTGAGAACTGATCCACAAGTATTTAGAGAATTACAGATAGTTACTACATCTGATTTTTCCATTTGATTACTTTACATATCAGCTTAGTTTTCATAGTCTTTTTTTATTATTATTTAGAACATATTTATTAAAGTGCCAAAAAGATTTTATTTTGTACAAAGTGAATTAATGAACTCAATTTTTATTTCATTTGGAAAGGTAAAATGATTCTGTATACATCTTTCAACCTGAGTTTCTGATTGAATAAGTAGACCACAGAGCAAAGACAGAGTTATCAGAGTAGCATAATACCTACAACTATTTGAAAAATTTTTAAATTTTTATCTTTTTTTTTTTTTGTATTTGAATTGTCAGTCACTTAAGACAGAAAGAAGGGGTACTGTTATGTAGTAGATATGTTCACAAGGGTAATTTGAAGCATTTGTAACTCAAGAAAAAAATGGGTAATTTCTTTGTGTGTAGAATAATGTGTGTAGAAAGGAAGATGCACAATTTTTAAGAAGATAAAAAGTACCAAATAAAATCTAAATCTAAAATAAACTGCTTGAATCTGCATATCATTGCTTTACATAGTTGCATGTACAGTGTAAATGAAACAAAGATAATGCCATCAGAACTGATATTAGCATATCATGTATATCTCAGGCTTGAAATTCTCTAGTGTTAACAGAAACTGAAGACTTTGCATCAGGCTTTGTGTATTTTTCAGTCTCTTTTCCTATAGTCTACTTGTGTTTCTTCTTTCTTTCACTGTTTTTTACAGTGTTCGTGTGCCATCATTCTGATGTTAGTTTCCAAACAATGACTAGTTTCCTTCTGAATAAATCATAAATACTGAAAGTAAAAAAGGAGTTCAATAATTAGTATCCTTTGACAATTGAATGAAAATGAGTTATTTTTGGAAAAGATAGTGGTCTCAATAAGTGCTAAAGAAGAGAAATACTAGAACAAGAAGTATAGATGAGATCTCCATGTGAAAACAATTCAATTTAAATGGAATTTCTCCAGTTAACCTTCCTGATTACTTTGCCACAATGGGGGATTATTTCATTCCAATCCCCCCCCCCATTTAATTTAATAGAAAGGTTTTAGATACTCAGTGTGGAATGTGGGGCATGCTAAAATCCAGGGATATCCATCCTTCATGAATGTATTCTTCATAAATAAGTCAGTTTTTCATACTGACTTTCTGTCTTGGTTCAAGAACTTCATTTAAAATAGGATAGACTTACTGGACTTAGGACTATATTAGATCTAAATCATGTAGATTTCAGGTTGGTCTGTGGTGCTGAAAAATTGTTATGGCATTGTATCATATTACATAAGATAGATAGTGTGAGTGTGTAAATTATGTAGACAACAGATACTGATAGTGAATAAAGTAAATAAAATTATGTTTTTACTCTATTTTACAGTTTCAAAGTTACTTCCAAATGTACTTGTTGTTGGGTCCTGAAACTGCCAAATAACTACTATCTTACATTTTCCCAGAGATACAAATTAAAGTTAAAAATCTACTGGAAGTAATTTGTTACTATTATATACCATTAAAAATAACCCTTTTTTTCTTTTCTTGGCCATTTGTTTTAATGGTTCTTCTATAGTGCAAAGCATATGCATTGAAAATTGTCTTTAAGGCTTGCAGTTCTTTTATGATTCATAAATAATTATAGAATAGGTCCAATTTTAAAATCATGAATGCTCTTTTATTATATGTGAGGATTAAATGGGAACTTCCCTTCATTTCTCAGAAGAGAAGGACTTCCAGCTTGGAGGAAAGTAAAACTTATGCAGTTGGACAATTGGAAAGCATTACTTAATTTAAATTAACTGTAGACATAGCTTTGTGTTTTGCTTCAGTACCTTTTGATTTTTTTAAATCAATATCTTATATATCAGTAAATACTTCCATATAAAATGCTTACATTCATAGTAGCTAGTATAATACCAAGTGTAGTATAGTGGCCATAAAAATATTACTGGACATAAAATATTATTCTCTCCATAACAGAATGCTTTCAGATATTTATATAGTTCTGTTTAAAATGCTCCTGGGGACATCTGCCTACAATAACTTCTTACTTGTTATTTCCTACAATAACTTACTAGCTATTTTTTTCCACGTAATTTTAGGTACTTATGTTCCTGAAGAACTAGAGCCAAGCTCTTTGTATTACTGTTTGGAAGTTAATGAAAGCTTCAAATACACAAAATAGTATACTATTTTTCTTCATATATACAGCAAAACCTGTCTCACAGAGACTTGTTAGGAAAGGTTAAGAGCTTTTCTGGCCTCTTCTTAAGATAGTCTTCCTTCTTGTAGTTTTCATGCAAAAGGTCTATGAAATGCTTCCTTCATTAATGAAAATACCTAAATTTTATGATAGAGATTTAAAGAGTGTTGGAGAAAGAAAGATTGAGCATTTTTTTTTTTTTTTGCATCAACATTACATGTGCTGGACAGTAAAACCTGATGTACTGTCAGTGCTCTTTACAGCACTCTATCCTCCTTTTGGCTTCATTGTTGTATCAGTGAAAACATGATACCCAGAGATGTTTTCAAAGCTACGTATAACACTTAACCCCTACTGTGTATGTGTTGTTTTTTTTTCCCCAAAGGATTCTCCTAAGTTAATGACACACATATGCTCCTACTTATTGAATGTTATTATTACCCCATTGTCAAAATATTTCCCCACAGAGGATCACTGGATAATAATGTCTTCATTTAATGATATTCTTTTTGGCAAATAGCATGTTACTTCCTCCCTCCTGTATTTCTCAGAATGATTTAGTTATTTTTTCACGGTATGCCCTAGATTTTCCCTGAAGAATGTTCTGCTACTCTTCATCATCTGGTTCAAATAATAAGAATATTTTACAAGATGATCTAGTTATTACAGCAGGAATAGAATATCAGTAGTGACTTTGAAAATTTGTTCTGGCATATTTACCTGAAGTTGGAAAATTCAGGATGCTGGCACAGTAGGTTAGCTCTCTTCCTTTCTGGTTGCTGTTTGTAACTGTGAACTGACATTCATTTTGTATTTCTTTAAAAATTTTATATATAATATAGTTATGATATCATATATCAGCTGAGCAAGCATT